GGGGAAGCCAGCAAAATTTGTATAAGGAAAGGTCATGGAAGCTCCACAGACACATCCAAACTCCCTGAGGGACTGAACTGCTGGGCGGAGGGCTGTGGGGACCACGGTCTCAGGGAACATCTAGCTCAATTGGCATAACACAGTTTATAAAGAAAATGTTCTACATTCTACCTTAGTGATTGGCGTCTGGGGTCTGAAAAGCCTGCGAGCAGCCATCTAAGGTACTCCACTGCTCTCACCCCTTCGGGAGCAAGGGAGAATGAAGAAAACAACATACAAGGAAAAGATTAGTCCAAAGGACTAATGGACGACAGCTACCACGGCCTCCACCAGTCAGAGTCCAGTACAGCTAGATGGTGCCTGGCTACCACCACTGACTGCTCTGACCGGGATCACAACAGAGGGTCCCGGACAGAGCTGGATAAAAATGTAGAAAAAAATTCTAACTCACAAAAAAAGGCCAGCATACTGGTCTGACAGAGACTGGAGAAAGCCCCAGAGTATGGCCCCTGGACACCCTTTTAGTTCAGTAATGAAGTCACTCCCGAGGTTCAATGTTCAGCCAAAGACTAGACGGCCCCATAAAACAAAACGAGGCTAATGGGGCACAACAGTCCATGGAAAAGGACTACAGGCAGGAGGGGACAGGAAAGCTGGTGATAGGGAACCCAAGGTTGAGAAGGGACAGTGTTGACATGTTGTGGGTTTGTTAACCATTGTCATAAAACAATATGTGTACTATTTAATGAGAAACTGTTTGTCCTGTAAACCTTCATCTAAAGTAAAATAAAAAAAAAAAAGAATGAAATAATTATTAAAAATAAATAAATTTTAAAAATTTCTGTTTAAAGACCTAATTTTTATTCATATTCTGTAAAGGATCTAAACTAGATACAGCGCTTTTTAGTACCATTAGGCCAACAGTCCTTAAAATTTTAAATCAGTTCTAACCACTGTTAAAATCCTATTTTACAGAATAAAATCAACTAAAGAATCAAATAAAAGCAGAACCTATTTTTCTCCCTCCATAATTTTTTTTTCTCCTAATGAAAACAATGCTTATTGTATACATACTGGAAGATACAGAAAAGATAAACGAGGAAAATAAAAATTACCTATAATCCTACCATCTAAAGATAAACACCTAATGATATTTTACTATCTTTTCTACCAAATATTTTGTGCATGTATATTTTCCCCATAATTGAACACACCATATTTCTGTAGCATAAATCGATTTTTTCATTAATATTGTAAGTGCACCTTAATGTCTTTATCTTTATTCTACAGCATGGTTTTTAATCTCTGTATTTAGTCATATAGATGGACCATAATTTATATAGCCAATCCCTGATTACATTTGGGATGATTTTAAAGTGCAAATCTCCATTACACCTCTGATTAATTTCTTAGAATAATTTCCTAGAAGTAGTATAAAAGAAACCCACTGCCGTCACGTAGATTCTGACTCATAATGATCCTATAGGACAGAGTAGAATTGACCCATAGGGTTTCCGAGGCTGTATATCTTTACAGAAGCAGACTGCCACATCTTTCTCACGTGGAGCGGCTGGTGGGTTCGAATTACCGACCTTTTGGTTAGCAGCCAAGCACTTTAACCACTGTGCCACAAGGGCTCCTTAGGAGTGGTATAACTGGGTCAAAAGAAATGAAATGAACCATTTTAAGGCTCTGGTTACTTATATCTTTTTCTGACAGGTTATGATAAAAAGCAGAACACAATCCCATCCCAGGATGACAGGAATTTGCATACGATCTGATTGGTGCTTGGCTCCTGTCCTCTGTAGTCAGTTCATCTCACTCATTTCATGATTTTTGCAATAACGGGATGATCCTTTTAAGTGATTTTTGCATCATGCCATAATTAACACTTAGAAGGGAAATGGTGATGAAGCTTCTTTTTTTGGCCCAGGTCTTCCCAGAAACACTGTAGTATGATATTGTCCTTTTTTTTTTTTTTTAATATTAAGGTCCCACATCTCTCTAACCCTAGCGCCCCAGAAGCAATCACCTGCACAGGATGAATGAATCAGTTAACAATGGGCACGCTTCTAGGCCATCCTGCTCTGTAAATACAGGGGCTGTGTGGCGGTTCTTGTTTTATGGGGCCTGGAGTCACTACTCAAGCTCATGGGCTAAAGACGTTGTGAAGCTAATACTTTTAAAACTTTTAAAATAATATCAACTGCTATATTTTTTTCTGATTTTAAATAGTAAAAGTAATATTTATTTCTTATAGAAAGTGCTGAAAAGTATAAAGAAGAAAATAAAAATCACTTAGAAATTCACCTTTCAGAAGTAACTCCTCTGATCATATTTTGGCAGTTTTCTTTCCAATTGTATAACTTTCCTATATATAACTTTATATATAAATATATGCTTATGTGACAATATATAAATTTATATACAGTCATGAGCCACATAATGTCTGTTTGGGCAAAGAGCAACCGCATACGTCCGTGGTCCCATAAGGTTACAATGTTGTTGTCAGGTGCTGTCGAGTCAGTTCCAACTCATAGCAACCCTATGTACAACAGAACAAAACACTGCCCAGTCCTGCACCATCCTCACAATCGTTGCTATGTTTGAGCTCATGATTGCAGTCACTGTGTCAATCCATCTCATTGAAGATCTTCCTCTTTTTTTGCTGACCCTCTACCTTACCAAGCGTGATGTCCTTCTCCAGGGACTGGTCCCTCCTGATAACATGCCCAAAGTACATAAGATGAAGCCTCAGCATCCTCGCTTTCAAGGAGCACTCTGGGTATACTTCTTCCAAGACAGATTCGTTCCTTCTTCTGGCAGTCCATGGTATATTTAACACTCTTTGCCACACCATAATTCAAAGGCATCAATTCTTCTTTGATTTTCCTTATTCACTGTCCAGCTTTCATATGCATGTAAGGTTATAATAGAGTTCAGAAATTCCAATAGTAGAACAGGACATATTACCGTGACGTGCATCATGGCTCCCGAATGCAGCAAAACCAGTGCTAGTGATAGCAGCAGCAAGAGGCAAAGGAGAAGTATCGATTTCAAGTGAAACAAAAGGTGATTAAACAACATGAAGGTGGAAAATCAGTGAACGCTATTGCTGGAGATTTAGGCATGTCATACTCGACAATCACGACAATCCTCAAAAACAAAGAAAAAATTCCCCAGGCTGTTAAAGGATTGGCACCACTGAAAGCTGCAAGGCTAACGAAAATGTGAGGGGGACCTATATCAGACATGGAGAAATTGCTAGTGATGTGGATTCAGGACCAAACACAACAGCAAATCCCTCTCAGCACGTTGACGATCACAATACACATGCATACAGTATCCCATATAGCTTTGCTAAGTATATAAAATGGTGTTTACACAACATCTAAATCACATAACATCCTATTTCACAGAACATATCATGGATGTTAAGCAACGCAAGACTGCATTTATATATATATATATATATATATATATATATAAATTTTGCCCTATAATGCATATGTACTGTATATCTGTTAAGGAAAAATCTATATATTTGTAGCATAAAGTGTATACTTTAGAATACTTATATTTTATACATTTATGTACGCAAGTATTTAGATATAGATAAATAAATCATATATAAATGTTTATCACATATATCCCTATATTTGGTGTTATAATATAAACATTAACATATTCTCTCTTGTCTCGTTTTTCTAGGAGCCAATGAAGAAATTGCTATTATCATCTCCATTTAACAGCTGTGAAAAATCACAGCTTAGAAGGAGGTTCAGTCAAGTGTCCAAGCTGACAAGGGGTCAAGTCAAGGCTCAGATTTAAGCATCTCATCTAAGGCCCTGTAAAGATTAAGATTCAATTCTAATAGCAGTTGGAAGCCATTGAAGGAATTTTAGGAAGACACAGAGTCTCTATATTTTTAAAGATTAAAATTACAGAATTTTTTAAGAGATTCAAAAAACAAACACCAAAACAACCAGGAGTTCTTAACATGTCCACTCTAGTAGAGAGCAGGTCAGAATGTCGCAAGCCAAGCCAGTAAACTGCTTGGATTAAAATCTCGGCATCTCAACCCTACCAACTACGTGCCACAATTTAACTGCAAATAAATATCAGCTCATCCCAAACAATCACTCCATCAGTATCCTAGCGGCATCCTAGCTCTTTCAGGATATGGCTACTGAGCTTAGACTGAAAAACAACTTGCAATAATTTTCTGAGAGAAAAATCAGCATCTTATTCAAAGCTTGGGAGTAATTGAAAGCCATGCTCAGGTTCAGGCTCCAAACCAATGGTGTTGCTGCTCCCTTCAATCCAGGATGGCCGCCTCAGACTGTGGGCTCCCCAAAACTGAATGAAGTCCACTCTGCTCACAAACACTGTCCACAGCAGGGACCCCACAGCCAGAGCTTTCATACGATCCAGAAAAGGTGGTCACACCTCAATAAAACTTACAAAACGAACCACATAATTTTCAAATGGAATAAAATACATAACTGCACCTGTAAATTCTTAACCACAGGAGTAGTTCTCTGATTCTGTAGGTCTCTGTTTGCCATTATATTATTCTCAGTACTGTTCTGTATCTTTTTAATTTCTTTAAAAAATAATAATAATTGAGTTACTAGGAATGTGTGTGTGTATCAACGGGTGTGTAGCTGCAACGGCAGTCGGTTGGGATTCTAATTTTGGTTTCTATTCTTTCACAAGTTAAGCCAGAATGAGGATGAGGTGTCTGTACATTTGTACTTGGAACATTCCAGGAACCCCCAGGACTGCATAAATCTAATTTGGCGGGGCCACAAAATCTGAAAGTGCAGGAACCTCACGGAGGCTCTCAAAGAGATGGCAGATTCCCACAGCTAACCCTCATGGTTTCCCCAAGTACACTCAAATAAAAGGATCACCTCCATGGCACCAAGGCTCACCCTGAGCAGCCTAGAAAATTCTAGAATCAAAGGCCTTCTCCCAAAAGGCTCAGCTGATCTTACCGAAGAGGCAAATCGTGGAGACCTCACTGGAGTAGGGACTTCTTCACAGCTCCACTCACTGGCGGTCTGAGAAAAGACCAAAAGATAAATGAAGAACTGAGGAAGAGTATACTCAGCTGCACTTCCTGGTTGACAACTTCCTGAGTCATAGGGGCTGAGCCAGGAGGGCGGGCCTCTGAGCAGACTGAGCAAAAATGCTTCCTTCTAGGCCTATAGGAGAAGCCAGGTGGCACAGGGCAGAGAGCACCGGGCACGGAGCCTGCTCACTTGAGTGATGGCTCTGGCTGTGTGCCTTTGGATGGGTTTTGCCTTTGGGGTCTCTTTTTCACATTCCAAAAGGAGAGATGAGACTTGGACAGATGTTAACTAAGAAACTTCCTTTTCATATGTCAGGATTTTACAGATTTTTGTGGGTTCATCATGAAGACTTTAATTTATTCATTCAATAAAAATTTATTGAACACTTCTAAGGGGCGTTGAGGAGTCGCTGGTAGGTACAAACAGTTAAGTGCTCGACTACTAACCGAAAGGTTGGCAGTTCAAACTCACCCAGGGGTGCCTCGGAAGAAAGGCCTGATGATCTGCTTCTGAAAGGTCATAGCCTCAAAAACCCTATGGAGCACAGTTCTACTCTGCACACATGGGGTCACCATGAGTCTGAATCAACTCAATGGCAACTGGTTTGGTTTTTTTTTTGGTTTAGGGGCCTTAATATCTGGAAACTGTGGCTCCCTCGCCAAGGCTCTGGGAGTGACCACTAAGTCCCACAGCTAACTCGCATGGTTTCCCCATATCCATTCAAATAAAAGGATCGCCTCCATGGCCCTAGGGCCACCAGATCCCACCCTCAGCAGCCTAGAAAACTCCAGAACCAAAGGCCCAACTACGTTAACAAAGGCAAATCCTGGGGACCTCACCATGAGCTGGGCCCTGGGTATCCGACCCTGGAGAACAAAACACAGAAACCCTGTGCCCTCATGCCACAAATCAGATGAAATGTTTTCTAAGTTAAAAGTAGAAAAAGAAAATCAAACATCTCTTTTCTTTGAAACTGCCTTTTGTCTTTCTCCAAATGGAATGTAAGCTTGCAGAGGACAGGGACCCGTCTTATGTGGGAGAAGATGAAATAAGGTGTCTGAAAGTGTCTTTTCACCTGTAGAGGTCGCTAGGTGGTACAAATAGTTTGTGCCTGACTACTAACCAAAAGGTTGGCAATTTGAACCTACCTACCCAGCAGCCCTGTGGAAGAAAGGCCTGGCAATCTGCTTCCATAAAGATTACAGCCAAGAAAACCCTATGGAGCAGTTCTAATCTGCATACGTGGGGTTGCCATGAGTTGGAATCAACTTGACAGCAACAGGTTAATGAGTTATGCACCTGTAGAGGGCTAGGTAAAGTTGACATCGTAATATCAATGCGCTCATTTAGCACTTGATTCTGTCCAGAAAACTTTGAGGGAGAACACAGCAACAGTATGAAAACCTCCTAGTAGTGAGTGGCTAACCCCTAATCTGAGGAAGTGTTCCTGGTCTCTTCCTGATGCTTCCCCAGCATCCTGAGCCAACTCCATCCTTGCCTTTGTCCCACTGTTTTGTGATTACTTCTGTCCTATGCTGTCAGCTGCATGGGGGCAGGAACTGCATCTTTCACATCTGTCAACAGGACCTGCTACATCTAAAACAAAGGAAGCAGCAACATCTAGAACATACAGAGATTCTCTGCAAACCTATAGAAGGGCAAGGGATATGAAAACAGAGCTCCCTGACAGGCAGACTCAAATGGCTCTAGTATATGAAGTGATGCTCAAACTCATTAGTGACATGGGAAATGCAAAATAAAGTAACAAGATACCCATCAGACTGGCAAAGGTTTGAAAGAGGGATCATGCCAAAGATTGCTGGGCATGTGAGCAAATGGAAGCTTCATGAGAGCTAGGTGGCAGTACTTGGTCTGATCAAGTACTCATGTAAGCCACGACCGGTAATCCTCCTCCTGGGTCCACATTCCAGACAAGTTCTTACCTCGGTCCCCCAGTGGATTTGTGGAGACTGTTTCATGTATCGGTTAGAAATGGGAGCGAGCGAAGTAGATAAAGAGCTTAAAACAGTGCAGAGTGAAAAAAGAGTAAGAAAGAGCGAAATACAGCACACAGAACTAACGCATAATAATAATTGCTAACGCTAAGAACAGTGATCACGCCAGTCACTATTGTAAGTGGTTTACACGTGTTATCTTTGAAATCCTCACCACCACCTCAGGAGGCAGTATTAACCCCATTTCATGAGGAGGAAAGAGAGACACAGAAAAATTACTTATTTGTCCAAGGTCACATAGTTAAAAACACAAAACAACAATACGTTTTGCAAAAAGACACATACATTCAGGGATACATATCAAAAGCATCAGAAAGCTGCCTTGTGGGAGTGAGGGGGATGGGAAGTGGGGTGGGGGCGGAGAGATCACAGGAAGTCATCAAACACGAGACGGGCTAAGCCACCTCTGGACCTCACAAAACAGTCCGGATCTGAAAGAATCGGTAACTCGACCCTCTGTCCTCTGCCAACGGACAAACAAAATAAAACAAAAATACAAGTAGAAAGTAAAGACTTCCCAGATCTCCAAACCTCAGCGGCAGGACGCGGACAGTGCGTCTGTCTGTGGCAGCAGACCAGGAGACCCCAGGAGAGAAAGCTAGCAGAGGAATTAACCAGAGTGAAAAAGCAGCGGGGCTGATGGCCGCGGTTCAGAGAAAGTACATGCTGGATGTGAGTGGAACCCAGCAGACCCACAAGCGCCCTCAGTGGGGTAGCTTCCAGCAGCACCCGAGTAAGTGAGCTTGCAGGTGGTGTGCTTACAAGATTCTCCTTGAAGAAGTCACCGCTGCACCGAGCACTCACCGGCTCCCCTCTCCCGGTACCGTCATAATCCCAGAGTACCCGTTGTTAGAACCCCAAACTGCCTACCTGTGGACTCAAACTTCCTAATACCTGTTCACAGACTACAGAAAACTCCCTATAAACTTAACAGGGGAAAAAGCCGCCAGGAACAATTTCCTTTTACTTTCGATTACTAAGGCTTTTTGCCTCCCTCAAAAGACTCACTTCCTAGTTATATTTCAGACAGCCTTCGAAGAGTCAGGAATGTAATTGTCTAGTCTCCGTGTTCAGAATCTTCCAGAGAACTCAGCAGGGCTTTTTAAAAAATCACAAGAGACTAAAGAAGGAGAGTCTGGAGACATCTCCTTTGAGCAGAAAGGCAGAATCTGGTCTTCAGCAAGAGAGAAAGAAAATTCCTCAACAGAAAAGAAACAACAGGAAAAACTTGGTTCAAAAACACAGAGATGACTCACTCTGACAACGTGTTTGATGTTTAAAGGAACAGATGCCTAATTTTCCAACCGTTCAAAAGTGAGGCAGGACACATTCATCAAGGTGCAAACTGAAAACCGGGACACTGGAACACACACACCAAATCCATTTAGTATTTTTTACTGGAAAGTACGTACACCAAATACATTTAGTGTTAGTAACAAACCAAATCCATTGCCTTCGACTCCTGGCTGCCCCATGTGTTACAGAGTAGAACTGCTCCATAGGGTTTTCTTGGCTGTAATCTTTATAGAAGCAGGTAGCCTGGCCTTTCTTCCATGTTGCCACTGCTTGGGTACGAACTGCCAATCTTCAGGTTAGTAGTCGAGTGCAAACCGTTTGTACCACTTAGGGACCTTTACTATTAATAACCCCTGTAATTTTCAAAGAGATTGTCTTGGCAAGTAACATGCCATTGTCCCTTGAAAGGGGCAAGGGAGAGGAACTTCTACTCTGTGCTGTGGTCCACATCTCTGCACTGAAGCCATGGACCAGCTCCCCCAGATGATATCTCAAGGGTCTTTTTTTGGGGGGGGGGGATCAAAGCAGACCTGTGGTGGAAATGTGGGGCGATTTTGCACAAAAAAGAGGAGGGCTTGGCCCAACCCTGAGTAGGGACAACGGCACTTAGTAGTATCCAGTGCTTTGCAGCACTGATCTGGGAGTAGGGGTAATACTGAGGTCTGTCCCTCAGGCTTCTGAGCCCCAGGCTCTCCCAGCTCTTCTTCATCCTCCAACCCCTCCTCCCTCTCTACCTCTATTTCCTGTTTGCTTTTTTAAAGAGTTTTCTGCCCTTTTGCTTTCACATCTTGATACGTGTCATAACCAAAACACTAATAATAATACAATAACTGTATGTTGCATCTTTTACATGAATTATCTGTAATTCATACTGCAGGGGATTGTTCTCCCGTGTTATGGATGCAGAAACTGAGGCTCAGACAGTCACTTAGATTCAGTCTCAGCCCTGTTGGGATAAAGACAAGGATTTTCCTTCTGCGACACAGTAAACCTCCACCTCCACTGCAACACTTAGGATTGGAAAGAACCATGTGGATGGAAGAACAGCAAATCTAAACCAAGACAGAGTGCCCTACACAAGAATGTCAGAAGGTCCCTGGGCTCTCAGGAGTTGCCCTAATAATGACACCAGTGAACATTTATCAAACCATTTGTGTGTGCCAGATACTGTCACCTGAACCGTCTCATTTCAACTTCCCAACAATTCTCAGAAGCTAGAGTAAACTTTCTTCCTAAAACAAAGCACAGATGACTCACTCTAACAACATACCTTTAATATTTAAAGGAACTGGTGCCCAATTTTGCAACCATTCAGAAGAGAGAGACGACATATTCATCAAGGTGCAGACTAAAAACCAGGAAGCTGGAACAGGCTTTTTTATTCCCTTTTTATGGATGGGGAAACTGAGGCTTAGAGAGGATAAAAGACTTGGCCAAGCTCATTCAGCTAGTGAGTGACAAAATGAGATTTGTTTCTCTGTAAGACCCTGGATGGTTAATCACTGCCTACATATTAATATACAACCATAAGCCTCAACCAGATTGACCTCAGAAATAACTGGAGAGGTTTAAAAAATACTAGTCCTCAGGCCCCACCTCCCTGAGCAGAATTACCGAAAATAAAGAAGGTTCAGCACTTATATTAGTGCCTGGGGCATAGACAGTTGTTAATAAATAAATATGCCCTGGTGGCACAGTGGTTAAGAGCTCGCCTGCTAACCGAAAGGTCAACAGTT